GCTGGTTCTCAACTGAGACTAGGGACTGGGACCGGCGACGGCATGGACCGGAAATCACGCGACACGGCCGGCGTGAATCCCGGCCCGACCGTGTCAAAAAAACAGAGCAGGACAGGGGGTCTCGGCCGGGGGGGAGCTCACCGGTGACGGCTCGTCGAGGCGGCTTTCTGGCTATTCCGTGGGCGACGGCGATGCTGCTGGTTGTCCTTCCTGCTCCGGCGTGGCCTCGGTTTGCTCCCTCTCTCTCTCTCTATTCTCTCTCTTGTCTCTTTCAGTCTCTCTCTGTGTTTCGCCGACCGGGGGCTCTCTCTCTTTCACTGTGTCGCCGCCGTCGGCTCGGCGGCGGGGATGGATGGCTGAGGCGCGGTGCGAGTACGGCGGTCGCCGGAAGAGCTCTCAGTCTCTCTTTCTCTCTGTCTTTTTGAAACGGCCGACCCTGGCTCTCTCTCTCTCTCTCTCTCTCTCGATTTTATAGGCGAGCGACGGCGTCCCAGAAGCCGTTACGTGCACGCAATGATGACGGCTGCCAGGCCTATACGCCTGCGACTTTCGCGGCCATGGCGAGCCGGTGCGGGCAAGCGAAGGGGGGCCGGTGCAGAGAGGGTGCAGAGAGACGGGGCAGAGAGGGAGAGAAAGCCTAGGAAACGGGGAAGACGGGACTGGCCTTAATGGCCAGTCCCTGTGGCGTGCTCGCCTGGGCCTCCTCTGACCGGATGACGACGATGAGGAGCGGCGCCGCCGTGCGTCACGCTTCGGTTGCGCACAGGGGAGAACAGGGGAGGAGAGAGCGACCGGCGAGGGAGGAGGAAGAGAGGAAGGGGTTGGGCCGGGCCAAGCCCAGTCCGCGCGGAGGAAAAAAAGGAAACGGGCTGGGCCCGCGCAGGAGGAAAAAGAGAAAAAGAAAAAGGAAGAAAAGGGCCGGGTCGGCCCAGCCCCGACCCGGCCCGAATCGATTTCGTTTTTTTTTTTTTTAAATTTTTGTTTAAAATTTAAGAAAATATGCTCTAATAGGCCCTATTAATGCACATATGCCTAATGTCTATATGCAATGCATTTAAATAGAAATATTTTTTTGTTTTAGGAATTAAAGAAAATTAATTCCTAAATTTTGTGTAATTAATTTTGGGCAAATTAAAAATAGGTGTCAACAGGTATCATGAAGAATCGACAGAGCAAGAGTCATGGCAAGAGCAAACGAATTATTTGAAGGGCATAATAGATTGATTCATGGGCTGAATGCTTTCTTGCCGGACGGATGCGAAATAGCATTGGACGAACCACTGTCACTTGCAAAGAAGCCTATCACTTTTGAAGAAGCCGTCAGTTTCATGCACAAGGTCAAGGTACGGCACAACTTTTGTCTTTCGGTGCAGAAGGCAAATACCGGGTTGATATAATATATAATTTCATGTCTTGCGTGGATATAGGAATGTCTACGGAGCGAGGAACATATTTATGAATCGTTTAATAACATTCTCTATCTATACCGGCGTGGAAGGAAAATCAGTGTGGTCTACAATGATGTAAATGCAGTTAGACGTGCTTCCTTTTGCATGCACCATCTCTTGTTTCCCCTACAAAATTTTCCCAATCTTGATCTAAATAGAGTAGGCTAAAAGATTTGGTCCATCATTTGATTTCGTAATGTCCGTAGGTTGCTCGCCTTTTTGCCGGCCATTCAGACTTATTCAACGGATTCAAGAGATTCTTGCCTGAAAACTGTGGGCATGAGGAAGAGCTTAGCTGTACAACCACAGTGACCTCGTGTCGATTGCAAATGGTAAGGTGACCATTTCTGCCTCCCATTTCTTTCGGTTAGATCTTTTGTTGCACGGAATAATCTTTCCATTTTGGCGTCTTTGTTTTGGACCGAACCCATTGAGATAGGTCGATTCTCAAGCCGAGGATAAAGTTACACAAAGATTGCGTTGATTTGGACGACAATGAGGACATGATGAAGAAGGTTCACGTGGATGATAGGAATGCAAGTGGATCTTATATGAGTTGTTGATCATAACCCAGGGATACACTTTACGGAATAAGATTTCATCAATATATTCACTTTTCCCCGTTTTACTTTTCCTTCTTGATTTATGGTTCCGAATTAGTTTGCAAGAGATCGTCATCTAATGAAATTTCTGGGATAAAGGAAATAAAAAGGAAATTGAACTAATGTATTTGCATCACTTTAGATGTTATTCTTGGATATTGGTTATTTGCTTGTGCTAAGAATGAGCAATGTAAGTATGTTAATAGTCAATATGTTAGTTGGCGTGTGCATCGAGCGGAATGTTTGTCTATGCACTTTTGAATTGACGTTGATAATACAGAAATCAGGGGGGGAGACGTGCGCGCTGTGGGCGCGGCAGAGGAGAGAGGAGAGAGAGAGGACAAAAGTTAATTTTTGTCCTCGAGTGCGATCCAACGGTCACGATTCAAATCCGAAAACGATCTAACGGTTCACGAAAATCCTAAATAATAATTAGGAGAAAGGGCCAAAAGAAAATAGCTAAAACACACTACGAGGAAGGTCTACTAGTCCAAATCCGCACCCGATCAAAATTTCACTTTTCACATATCCCGGGCAATATCGAGGCTGGCCACAATAATATCGACACCGTCCAATTAAATTCGTTCCGAAACTTCGAGAAATTTGACACCAAAGTTTGGGCTCTAAATAACGGTCAAATTCGATCGAGTGCGATTTTAGCGAAATCTCTAATTTAAAAAGAAATAACCCAAGAGTGATCAGTTCAGGGCGAGATTTTGTTATAAGTGCACTAACGAAATACACGTTTTATAAATCCCAAAAATGGATCGAAATTCGGAATGTCACAGGATAAATGTGGCACGGGTGTATAATATTGTGATTTTTCATGGTATTAACCCCAAAAAAAGATATACTTCTTAAACAATGGACTATGTTAGCTTTTGTTTTTGAAATAATAAATTCTAGGGTTAATACCACGAAAAACCCTAAACTGGTACACGAGTGATAAATTTACTTCAAACAAATTTTTGACCACCAAAAATCCAAAACCGGTACACTTGTAACAAATTTACCCAAAACTAATTTTTTTACCACCAAAAATCCCAAACCGGTACATTTAAAACAATTTTATCCTCCGTTAAATTAGATTAATACCATGAAAAACTAGAAACTATTACACTTGTGACAAACGGAGGGTAAAATCCCAAACTACTACACCTTTCAACTGGCACGTGTCATCCAACTCAGAAATTTAACGGTAAAATTTAACGAAAATTAACGGAAGGTAAATTTGTCATGAGTGTACTAGTTTGGGGTTTTTGGTGGTCAAAAAAATTAGTTTAAGATAAATTTATTACAAGTATACCAGTTTGGGATTTTTCGTGGTATTAACCCTAAACTCTATTGAATGGATCCAAATAGCGTCCTCAAAATTAACACCAACATTTCGCTTTTAAAACATAAATATATATATCACCAAACGGCTCGTAATTTTTTCAAAATAGGAAATATCGATTAGCGAGCGCAAAAATTTTAAGTTGACGAAATCTATGCTCTCTATCTTTGATCCAACATGAGAACATTTCGAAAGATACTCAGGTTCCTGCTCTTCTTTTCCTAAAGGATGTTGACATCAAGTAAGATAACAACTTGGATTTTTTTCCATATGTGATTACCTCCCGAATTAGAGATCTTTTCCATGGGATTAATTATGAGACTTCTACCTTCAGCAAGATGCATTTTGAATTGACACCCGAGTTTCCATATTCATCTCTAACATTTGTCTTGGGTGTCCTCTGGTTGGCTTTCCTTTGCTGCGTTTTGGGTTTTTCTTCAATAGCCACGAATGTTACCATGATAAGTTAAATTGAAAGAGCACAAACGTTCCGTAAAGAATAAAAGGCACATGACCTCCGATTATCCATTTTTGAGTAAGCCGCTTTTTTAAATTTAACGTTTTTAAAACTTTATGATTCTAATACGTACAACTTAACGACATAAGAAGTTCCGTAAAGAATAAAAAGCACGTCACTTCCGATTTTCCATTTTGGAGTTTGCGGTTTATTTAAATTTAACGGCTTCATTCATAAATGAATGCATCCGTCAAAACGATCAATTAACGAGAAAAACTGTGATTTTTAAACGCTTGCTTCCATGTAACAAATGTGTCGTACACAACCTGCCTAGTGGCAATTTCTCTCCATGCATCATAATTAGGTAAAATGCGCGCCAAAAGTAGTAGGCTAGCCAAATATGAAATATTACCAGGAATCCAAAGGCAAACCTAAGCCATCGACATGACTTTCCTTAACCACATCCACGAAACCAATATAAATTATGCTAAGATCTTATTGGAAAGCATCACATTTTCTCGGTTCCTTCTCTTCATCTCAGAGATCTGCTCATTCTTTCACTCTGAGAAAGCTCAAGGTGTGGTTTCTCTTTGAATTAGGGGGCTTTGTGTTTAAGTGATTATCTTTGTTTGAGGAAAAAGAAAGAGCTTTTCGGATTTCGTTTTGTGCAGAAATGAAGAGAACAAGAGATGATGTTCTTCACCCTTCCCGTGGAGAACGGTGAGATCATTTTTGTATTCAGTATAATTTTTGCCAGTGCTGTCTTTCTCCTTCGAGGTTTCGTTTTCGGTTTCTATTGACAAAAAATTTAATTTTCAATCGAAAAAAATTGCGTATGAATTAATATAAAATAGAACATAAGAAAGAACATGAATAAGCTAAGGTAAGACGTATTATAAGTTTGGTACATGAGTCATTCAAAATATTTATAGATGAAAATAATTGCTTCCAATAGGAATTGAACCGGTATTAAAGGCTATGTTAGTTTGAATCTGGCCCTTCATTCTTTTTTCTGCATATGAAGCTATGGACAATCCCAAGGAGGAGAGGAGGGAGACGCCGGTGGTAAAGCGGGTCGAAGACTAACACCGAACGACGCTTCGTCATACGTCAGGGAAGTGAAGGACGCGTTCCAAGATCAACCGAAAAAGTACGACATGTTCCAACAGATTATGATAGATTTCAAGTCTCAAAGGTACAATCATTAACCTTGTGGCGACAATAGGAATATCAATAATCTAACTTCTTTCTCTGGTATCAATCAGGATCGATAGAGCAAGAGTCGTGGCAATAGCAAAGGAACTGTTTAAAGGGCATAACAGATTGATTCATGGGTTCAATACTTTCTTGCCGGTGGGATGTGAAATAGCACTGGACGAAGCACCGGTTTCGAAGAAGCCTGCCAGTTTGGAAGACGCCATCGATTTCATCCACAAGCTCAAGGTACGGCACAACTTTTGTCTTTCGGGTTGGAAGGTAAATATTGAGTTGATACGATATTTAATTTCATGTCTTGTGTGGACATAGGAATGCTTTCGGATCGAGGAACATATTTACATATCGTTTCATAACATTCTCCATATGTATCAGCATGGAAAGGAAATCGACGCCATCTACAATGAGGTAAATACAGATAGACGTGCTTCCTTCCGCATGCACCATCTCTTGTTTCCACTACAAAATTTCCCAATCTTGATCTAAATAGAGTAGGATAAAAGATTTGATCCATCATTTGATTTCGTAATGTCTGTAGGTTGCTTGCCTTTTTGCCGGCCATCCGGACTTAATCGAGGCATTCAAGAGATTCTTGCCTGAAAACTTTCGGCATGAGGAAGAGCTCAGCTGTATCACCACTCGGACCTCGTGCCGAGTGCAAATGGTAAGATGATCATTTTTGCCTCCCATTTCTTTTGGTTAGATCTTTTGTTCCAAGGAATAATCTTTCCTTTCTCTCGTCGTTGTTTTGGACCGAACCCGTCGAGATAGGTCGATTCTCAATCCGAGGATGAAGTTACACAAAGATTGCGCTAATTTGGACCACAATGAGGATATGATGAAGAATTGCACAAGGACGACAGGAATGCGACTGGATCGGGTTGTTGATCATAACATAGGGAGCATTTTATGGAAGAAGATTTCATCAATATATTCACTTTTCCCTGTATTACTTTTCCTTCTTGATTTATGGTTCTGAATTAGTTTGTAAGACATCGTCATCTAATGAAATTTCTGGGATAAATTGAACTAATGTATTTGCATCACTCTAAATGTTATTCTTGGATATTGGTTATTTGCTTGTGCTAAGAATGAGCAATGTATGCATGTTAATAGTCAATAGGTTACTTGGCGTGTGCATTGGGCGGAACGTTTGTCTATGCACTTTTGAATGGACGTTGATAATACAAAATTATAAGATAAAGAAATGTTATGTTTCACTAGTGGCGAAAACTAATTCCAAATAATGATTTCGTGCAGGTGATGTTGAATTTCTTTTTCCTTCAATTTTGTATTTTTGTATTTTACTACAAATCGTTTCCCAGTTTATGTATCTTTCTCGATACGTTTATCTCTTTCTCTTGAAGGTTCCCAATTAGCTTGATATAGTGGGAAGTGAAAATAACCCGGTCAGTCATAAACCTATCGTACCGATGTTAATTTAATCATAAATTTTTCAATTTGGCAAATGTAATCCTAAACATTTTTATGATTTTCCAATTTAATTCCTTTCGATCAATTGTCACCAAAAATCACTGACGTTACGTCCGGTCATCATCGTCCATCTTACGCTACACAACCGACGATCTAACGTGACAATACAAAGCCGTTTTTGTCTAATTTTTTTAAGTTCTTAATTTTTTTCCTTAACATTTATTGCAACTGTTCATCTTCTTCTCCGGGTCAACCTTCTTTACATTTCTTATCTGACTCCCCCATTATTGACACACATTATAGTGTGTAGTTCCTCCTTCCTCCACTAGCAATTTGAAGATCCGCAATAGCCAACTATCACGCATTTTCAATAAACAACAAACTCAATCAACATGAGTGGTTGACATCATCTCCATCTTCACATCAGAGAAACAACTTGGCGTGTTCTAATTTCCGCAGAAACTCCATCCCACGGCACTAACACAATTCAGCCAACTATTAAGCAGTTTCATTTAATAACAACATCAATTCCAGATGTGACAACACCAGAGAATCATGTTCAGGCATGACTGCAGAGCCACAACTCAGAGAAGGAACAAGCCCAAGCCGAGATAGAGGCTTGGATCAAGCGCGAACCTTGGATCTCCGGCCTGGTGGCGCTCAACCGGCTGAGCTAGGGCTCGCTTAAACTAATATCCGATATATGAGACTTGACCTCACCGGCTGAGCTTGGGCTCGACAACGGCGAATATGAACCACCGCCGCACAAGTGAAAATTAGAGGCGAGGGTCCTCGGTCTAGAACAGAGGCATGAGTGGTGGAAATCTGTGGCGAGGAGGTGAGGGAAAGTGAACGTTGCGGCGGAGATTGAGAGCAGAAAAATTGAAGATGAAGAGAGCATAGGTGGCCATTAGAGATTTGCCGAGAGCTCGCAACGTCCGAAACAAATGTGGAGAAGAACAAGAAATCAAAATAACATGTGAGGTTTAGCAGAGAGATGAACAGGAACAAAAATTTCAAACCCACGTACGAGTTCAACATTTATCGTAGAGTTGAAGATGAACAACAATAGAAAAAATAAACAGAAGAAAAGTAAAAAAGAGAAAAAAGAAAAAAAATCTGAAAAAAAAGAAGATAATACGACATAAACCGAACGCAACTGCAAAAATTTCTAGTTCGCGAAATCTATGTTGTCTATCTTTGATCCAACATAGAGAACATTTCGAAGCAAACTCAGAGTAGTGCTTTTCTTTGTCCTACGGATATGACAACAGAGTAGATAACAACTAGGATTTGTTTCCATATGTTATTACCTCCCAAATTAGAGATCTATTCCAAATGATAATTATGAGACTTCTACATTCAGCATGATGCATCTTGAATTGACACCCGAGTTTCCATATTCATCTCTAACATCTGTCTTGGGTGTCCTCTGGTTCGCTTTCCTTTGCTGCGTTTTGGGTATTTCTTCAATATCCACGAATTAGCCGTGATATGTTAATATTGAAAAAGCACAAACGTTCTGTAAAGAATAAAAGGCACATTACCTCCAATTATCCATTTTCGAGTAAGCCACTTATTTAAACTTAACGGTTTGAAAATTTTAAGAAGTTCCGTAAAGGATGAAAAGCTCATCACCTCCGATTTCCATCTTGGAGTAAGCCGTTTATCTAAATTTAACGGCTTCATAAATGAATGCATCCGTCAAAACGATCAATTAACGAGAAAAACCGTGATTTTTAAAGGCTTGCTTCCATGTAACAAATTTGTCGTACACAACCTGCCTAGTGGCAATTTCTCTCCATGCATCATAATTAGGTTAAATGCGCGCCAAAAGCAGCAGGCTAGCCAAATATGAAATATTACTAGGAATCCAAAGGCAAACCTAATCCATCGACATGACTTTCCTTAACCACATCCACAAAACCCATATAAATTGTGCTAAGATCTTGTTGAAAAGCATCAAATTTTCTCAGTCCTCTTCATCTCAGAGATCTGCTCCTTCTTTCACTCTGAGAAAGCTCAAGGTGTGGTTTCTCTTTGAATTTGGGGGCTTTCTGTTTAAGTGATTATCTTTGTTTGAGGAAAAATAAAGAGCTTTTCGGATTTCGTTTTGTGCAGACATGAAGAGAACTAGAGATGATGTTCTTCACCCTTCATGTCGAGAACGGTGAGTTCATTTTTATAGTCAAAACAATTTTTGCCAGTCCTGTTGTTTAGTGCTATTTTTCCCCCTTCGAGGTTTCGTTTTCGGCTTCTATTGACAAAAAATTTAATTTTCAATCGAAAAAAATGCATATAAATTAATGTAAAATAGAACATAAGAAAGAACATGAATAAGCAAAGGTAAGACGTATTATAAGTTTGTTATGTAAGTCATTCAAAATATTTATAGATGAAAAGAAATGCTTCAAATAGGATTTGAACCGATATTAAAAGTTATGTTATATTGAATCTGGCCCTTCATTCTTTTCTCTGGATATGAAGCTATGGACGATTCCAAGGAGGAATGGAGGGAGACGCCAGAGGTAAAGCGGGTCGAAGACTAACAATGAAGGACGCTTTGTCATACGTCCGGGAAGTGAAGGACGCGTTCCGAGATCAACCGGAAAAATACGACATGTTCCTAGAGATTATGAAAGATTTCAATACTGAAAGGTACAATCACGAACCTTGTGGGGACAATAGGACTATCAATGATTTAACTTCCTTTCTTTGGTATCGCGCAGAATCGATAGAGCAAGAGTGGTGGCAAGAGCAAAGGAATTATTTGAAGGGCACAACAGATTGATTCACGGGTTCAATGCTTTCTTGCCGGAGGGATGCGAAATAGCACCGGACGAACTACCGGTAAAGAAGAAGCCTGTCACTTACGAAGAAGCCATCGGTTACATGAACAAGGTCAAGGTATGGCACACTTTCTCGTCTTTCAATGCTGAAGGCAAATACTGAGTTGATACGATCTTTAATTTCATGTCTTGTGTGGATACAGGAATGTTTACGGAACAAGGAACATATTTATGATTCGTTTAATCACATTCTCTATCTGTACCGGCGCGGAAGGAAAATCAGCATAGTCTACAATGATGTAAATGCAGTTAGACGTGCTTACTTATGCATGCACCATCTCTAGCTTGTTTCCACCACAAAATTTCCCAATCTTGATCTAAATAGACTACGCTAAAAGATTTGGTCCATCATTTGATTCCGTAATGTCCGTAGGTTGCTTGCCTTTTTGCCGGCCATCCGGACTTATTTGAGGGATTCAAGAGATTCTTGCCTGAAAACTTTCGGCTCGGGGAAGAGCTCAGCTGTACCACCACACTGACCTCGCGTTGATTGCAAATGGTAAGGTGACCATTTATGCCTCCCATTTCTTTCGGTTAGATCTTTCGTTGCACGAAATAATCTTTCTACTTTGTTGTCTTTGTTTTGGACCGAACCCGTCGAGATAGGTCAATTCTCAAGCCAAGGATGAAGCTAGACAAAGATTGCGCCGATTTGGACCATAATGAGGACATGATGAAGAAGTGCACAAGGACGATAGGAATACACATGGATCTAATATGAGTTGTCGATCATAACATAGGGATACATTTTATGGATGAATATTTCATCAATATACTCACTTTTCCTTGTTTTACTTTTCCTTCTTGATTTATGGTTCTGAATTAGTTTGTAAGAGATCGTCATCTAATGAAATTTCTGGGATAAAGGAAATAAAAAAGAAATTGAACTAATGTTTTTGCATCACTCTAGAGGTTATTTTTGGATATTGGTTATTTGCTTGTGCTAAGAATGATTAATGTATGCATGTTAATAGTCAATAAGTTACTTGGCGTGTGCATTGAGCGGAATGTTTGTCTATGCACTTTTGAATTGATGTTGATAATACAAAATTATGAGATAAGAAATGTTATGTTTCACTAGTGGCGAAAACTAATCCCAAATAAAGTTTTTGCGCTGGTAATGTTGAATTTCTTTTTCCTTCAATTTTGGATTTTACTATGTAGCGTTTCCTAGCTTATGTATCTTTTACAATACGTTTATCTCTTTCTTTTGAAGGTTCCAAATTAGCTAGTTATAGTAGGAAGGGAAAATTATCCGGTCAATCCTAAAAATATCGTACCGATGTCAATTCAGTTATAAACTTTTCAATTTGGCAAATGTAATTCTAAACATTTTAATAATTTTCTAATGTAATTCTTTCCAATCAATTATCGTTAGAAATCACTAATGCGACATTCGGTCATAGTCGGCCGTCTTACATTGCACGGCCGACGACCTGACATTGCAAAACAAAGCCATTTTTGTCTAATTTTTTTGAGTTCTCAATTTTTTTTCCTTAACATTACATGGTAACTGTTCATCTTCTTCTCCGA